CTTTTATGTTAACTTAATTTACTTCTTGTTACTGGTACTCATATGTCCAGGGGAGACTCCCTGCTAAAAATTACACTGTACTGTAAATGAAACACTTAACATGCTCAATGCTAGAACTTCATCTAATATGTACATGAAGGATCTGGAGTTTCAGAACTAATCCCACCAAGCTATTTCTACATTTCCTCTTACTGTATATAAAGAAACATAAAGCAACCATGTGAAGAAACAGAAAAATTTTAAAAGACAACGTAACATAGAGAAATGGATATTTCCACTATCTCCATCTGGTCTACTACTGTTTTTCACAATTCCTTTGCCTTATCTGAGGAAAAGAGATGGCCCACTAAGAAGAGGAGGAGTCCTTTGAGTAGGAAAAAATTCTCAAATCCTTTTTCTCTTATATTCATTGCTAACTGCATTGTGTCAATTTGTGCTTTTCCCAGATGTGTCTTACACAATCTAATGTCTGAAGCTTAGGATTGCCAGGGTGCCAGGCTCCAAACAGATGGGAACACAGTCAGTGCTGAGTTTCTCTTCTGGGCACCATTTGTACTCTGTTTTCTCAGTATCCCATTTCATGCTACCACAAGCCCAATTTCAAAGAAGAAACAGTAAAGCAGGAGAGATTGCCACTTTCTGCTGGGAATCTACACATAAGAACGTTGAGATTTGGTCTCACTCTACAGCTGTTTTCTGTGCAAATGGTGATGATCCAGCAGAATAAAACAACAATCTCAGTTCAGATAATAATGCAGAGTGTTCTGAAGGCAAGTACCCACTTACAGAAGCATGCAACAAGTCGTATATCCCCACGAATACTGTGTGAGAAGTAGCTCTTACAGCCCTTACCTGCACCAGCCTTACACAGCCCAGCATCACCATCTTTGAACTGGGATTTCCGATTTAGCTGCAGTACCAACACACAGCAGGTGTAAGTAGCCAACTGGATGCTGACAGCATCAGTGGTTCATCAGTCAGTGAATAATGTCTTTGTGGCTTGCCTCACTGGGTGACTGGTCAGTGCTAGAGAGATCTGACACCTGACAGTCCTACAGAGAGCGTGAGCTGTAACGCAATGTGACTTTGCCTTCCAGCTTGTGCTTTATGGCATCTTCTTGTCAGCAGTGCTGAAGCTATTCAAACCATCAATATTGCCAGTGCGTCCAGATTCCTCCATCATTTTCCAGTGCAGTCAAGTCTCTTCTGAATTTGAATATGTGACTTCAAGCAAGGAATGGATAAGCTCTTAAACAAAAGTGATGGTATGAATGTCCATGGTAACAATGGAAAAGAGAGGGGTAGAGTGGAAAATATGAAGCAGGCTGAAAATCACTTCTACATAACAGATCCTGCAAAAGAAGAAACTACTTGCTGGCCTGTAATATCCAAGCTGAAGTAATGTGTGAAGGCTGTTTTTATGGTGAGCCATATCAGTGGTGCAATCCTGCAAAAACCTGAAGGTTTAATAATTTCTGAGCATTCTGAAGATATTGGTTCAGTACACAAGTCACCTGTAGATGAAGCCCAACATTGCCCCCTTGTTACCAAGTATACTAAATTGGGTTTTCCATCTCCAGTAGGAAGTATATTTTTGAATATCATTACTTGAACAAAGACAGCATTAGCAAGTCAAATGATTCTGCATTAGTATTTTTTTAAAGGAGGCCACAAAATTATGCTTTTTATGCAATTTGGCTCTTTTTATTCATTTAAAGGAATCAAAGTGAATTCTAAAATTCAATTTCAGAATTAATTTCAATTATTCTAAGACAAATTTTTATTAGTGGAAGAAGAGCTCACAAATAATATTTCATCAATAGACCAGTTCAGCATGTGATTATGATCTTTGTTCACATTTCAAAGGTGTAAACATCATTGTATGGCAAAACTGTATCTCTATTCCCCATCTGTCCAGTTAAAACAAAAAGTATATTAAAATTGGTGTGCATATGAGCTTAACTGGGAGATACTTGTGAAGGAAAATTTGTTTTATTTTCATCAGTCCCAAATCTTTAAACATAATCTAGAATATAGCATTCTATATTTCTGAATATATTAAGAATTAAACTCAGATGAAAAACAAAAAGGGAAATGTATTCCATGTTAAACTCCCAATAAGACCATAATTTAAGGGATTGCATTGATTTAGAAAAAAATTCTGCAAAAGAATTTAATTTTTTATAAGAATTACTTTCAGGAATAGGTTTCATTTATATGTTTTATTACTTCTTAGAATTTTTTATTTAATTTTAAAATAAATTTTATCAAAGCAATTATCACTTATTATAATCATAATGACTAAAAACTACCTGGTCTTTAATGTCACAAAATCAAATTTGCACTTATCTTTAAAAAGGGTAAAAAGGAGGACCCTGAGAACTACAGACCTGTCAGCCTCATCTCTGTGCTTGAGAATATCATGGAACAGATCCTCCTAGAAATTATGCTAAGGCACATGGAGGACAGGAAGGTGACTGGAGACAGCCAGCATGGCTTCACCAAGGGCAAGTCCTGCCTGACCAACCTAGTGGCCTCCTATGATGGACCAACTACATCAGTGAAAAAGGGAAGAGCTACAGATCTATCTGTACTTCTGTAAGGCCTTTGACACAGTCCTCACAACATCCTTCTCTCTAAACTGGACAGATACGGATTTGAAAATAAGAAAATATAAAATTATACGATTTTATAGAATCATGCAGACAAACTTTTTAGTAGGGCTTGTTGTGATATGAAAAGGGATAATGGCTTTCAAGTAAGAAAGTAGATTTAGACTATATATGAGGAAAAGATTTTTTATTATGAGGGTGGTGAGACACTGGAACAGGTCTCCGAGCAACTTGATCTAGTTGAAGATGTCTGAGATCATTGCAGGAGGATTGGACGAGAGGATCTTTAAAAGGTCCCTTCCAATCCATTTTATGATTCTAATTGAAGACTGGCAAATGTGAGTATTTTGGTATTTTTTTAGAAAAACATTATGGTTTTTTATCATAAGCTTCAAATGGAGTGGAATTTTAGTGTACTGATCACCTCCACTGAAGTCCTATAAAAGGCACAGGTTTCCATGGTAGATTATACCTGTGCATAACAAAGTGAATAACTGGAAAGAAGAGAAAAAGAAGACTGAAATGAAAAAACAAAAAGCAGCTATGAGAGAAAATAAGAGTGTAAGACAAAGGGAAGCAATCAACCCCCCATGTGCTTCTAGTACACAATTTGCTTATAACACCTGGGAACTTCCTACCAACCATAGCCACCTAAATGCTCACAAGTTCCCCTGTTCCACCAAATGTCTCAGCTTATGTTCTCCCTAATTATCTGAAAACTGTAGATTAATAACTACATAGATAGAGTTGGAGCTGTAACTGGGTGAACTGGATGGAAAGTGTGATGGGAATTAGAGAATATGACTGAAGGATTCACTTAAGCTGTTGTTTTCTCCCTTTTCTCTCCAACTACAACACAACCCAATTTTTCACTCTGAAAGAAAGTGTACCTGCCCAATTCCAAAACCAAAACACTTTGTCTTAAGATGCTGGTGTGGTTGCTAAGTAACAGCAACGTCATTTATCTGCCACATCACTCACACACACGCCTCATGAACACATGGAAAGTGGTTATGAAAAATCTTACGGTACCCATATATTAAGATATGTATTAAGATAATACTTCTCAAGAATGAATTAAAAATGTTCTGAGAAATTTTAGGTAGTATGATAAAAAGAAAAAAAAACTTATAAAAACATTTATATATTGACAAGTTAAAATCAATAGGCAGGTCAAACAATCAGGCTGTTACTGCCTGGAGTACTGAGAATAACTAGGAAGGCAAGACAAATCTCCAGACTCAACAGCAAAGTTTAATGGGAAGGTTCAAGATGCTATCTGGAGGTAAGTCATGGTAAAATAATTGGAAATTTTATCAGGTAAAGATTAGGAAGCCAAATATTAGAAAAGAGAAAGTAAACGTTAAATTTGTCTAAGAAGCAATAAACTTTCAAAAGAAAGAATGGGTCTTTTGGACCAGAGAGAAGCAAGCAAGGAACATGAGGGCAGAGCTGAGAAGCTCTGATTTCACACTGGACTGCATCAGTTCAGACTGGACTTACCCCAGATACAGTCTTTCAGGTTATTAAAATGTTGTCAGAAGATATTGAAGGCAACTGATTAACTGAATAGGAGAACAATTAGAACTAGATAGGTTAGGAAAAGAAAGAATGAATGAAGTTGCTAAGCTACTATTGGAAGTTTTCTTAAAGTGGCCTTTTAGAGGACTGAAAAGTAATACAGGTATCAGGAATAACCCTGGAAGTTATAATACATGTCCTTTTTACTTTAGCTAAATGAGTTAAAATTACCATAACATGTAAAACACCTCTTCTGACACAACTGTGCAGTTCCTGCTACAGAACATGTATGGTGATAAACCCTTCTAAATGTGTTCATGTACTTCTGTGTGCTCACAGTAATAATTTCTAGTCTGTAAGAACTCAGCAGCTCTCTTGCAAACTTCAGTGGTCCTTACCCATTTCAGCTATGGCTGTCCAAACCACAGTTGTCGTCTTGGTGTTCTTGTAATGAGAAAGGTATTTATTTTCCTGTATCATGGCTGAGATAACAGGTTTGTCATAGAGTTGACTACTCACAGAAACTTTTCATTTGTCAGTGTACCAAACTCTGCTATTTTAAATCTTCTATTTCTAAGCTGACTTCTTGTGAACTTGTCAAATTGGAACTGCTTTCCTCTCTGTCAGTAAAACCACTCAGTTTTTCAATTCAGTCCCTGCTGCTTCTTAGTTTAACTCTCTTCCTTTTGGAGAATATCTATGATGGTTCCAATTAAACGGCACTACCCTAAATTTTTTTCCCCTCATTTTAAATGTTTTTTGTTTTGGTTTTTTTTTCAGCACAGTAGTTATGAAACATTAAACAGAAAGTAACAATTTGCTTGATTCTACTTTTAAAAGAGAGAAGAGATAACAATAGTCAAAAAATCTACCAGATGGTTCTTTTAATAAATACATTAAAGTCTCTTTTATTTTTCTCCATTTTTAGCGATTAACATAAAAACTTTCAGACCATCAAACCAGTTTTCACAATCTGCCGTAAATTTGCATTTCACAGAAATAATCCTGACAAGCACTAATAGATGAACGTTATTGGTGCAATAATAAAACAATATAAGGCATATTTACACCATCCTTACATACAGAACACTGTACACACAAAAAAATCACAGGTCCAGAACAAAGTAAATTCAATCCCTTAGACGTTTTATGTTTATAGGCTTGGTATCAAACAAATAGTTCTCCAAGCAACAGACAACCTCTTGTTCTTGTGTGATTTATTTGTAACATTGTGCTCATGCAAAATAGGTATTTGCTTTATTGCATTAACATTGAGAGAATGTTGAGAATTAGTTCCAAAATCTGTTCAATTGAATTTTAAACCCTGTTTCTCTTCATCCTTAGTAAGTCTGAGTCATCTTTATTGGTGACATAAAATGAGATGTTAACTGATGATTGAGATTTTTATTTGGTAAGTTCCAAAACAATAATGAAGCCCAACTGACTACAGTTAGAAAACCATCTTTCTTAACCATGCACTTTTTTCTTTGCTATTATGAAGTGGTTTAGATGAGATGTCTCTTGCATTTTTTAAGTTTCTATCTTTTTATATATATATTTTTAAAGAAAAACATGTACTATCCAACATCCACTGTTCACAGAAAGATATAAGCAGCAGGAATAGCTCTGGTGGCAGAGTTGGCCAGAAGGAGGACATCAGTAAGTTAGTGGCAATGTAATAAACATCAAATGCCCCAGAGATACGTCATGAAAGAGTTGATCACTATAACCCATATTTCTGTAAGAGTTCGGATTGCCAGGGACGTTTGCGCTCTGGAAAATAATCTGGAATGTGGATTTTTTTAAAATCTTGGATACATTTTCTCATTTCTTCCTCAACACTCAGCTTCTCACACACCTTCTTTTTGGAAAGATTTGTTTCTCTGGACTTGCTAATGAGAGTTTGAAAGAGTTCACTGTTCCTGCGTTTGTCTGGAGGTGGCATCCACTGTACTGGGGCCTTCTTAGATGGACGATCCAAAGTCAGAGTATTTGGCTGGTGGGCTGTGGATGGTTGAGTGCTGGTGGCGTTTTCTTGAGGGGTGCTGGCTTCCGAGTGGCTGTCACAGCTTGAGGTGGACAACTCATTACAGGAAGTCCCACTTTCACTGCCCTTGTCCAAGACTTTGTCATGTTTTCTTTCTTCATGGTCTTGTTTTGGGGAAACGGTTCGCTGGGGGGGCCCTAATACAAGGCAGGAGAGAAAAAGTATTAAGCAAGCACTGGTTTACACAGAAAACTGATCAGATACCATTTAGAAAAATGTGACTCAGGGTCTTGGCTGGCATAAATTGGTAGCATTTCGTTGTAGGTAAAAGAACTATACCCAACTAATACACAAGTTGAAGGTCTGGTCCTCAAAATTCTCACTCCTAAAAATGTTTACAGAAAGAATAACTTCACTGCCTGTCTGAGAATCCAGGTAATGAAGTGTGCATAATGCTCATGAATTAGCTGCAGTGGAAATCCTTGCTGGTAAGTTTAAATGAGCTAGTTTGCTACTATACTGCATGAAGTTTATTATGATAAATTAGATTTTGGCATATTAGGGAAATACTACTGTACAATTTGCATGGTCTTCACTTGAATAAAAATATTCCAAGGGCTTAGATTAATTTTTTTTTTTTTGGAAGCTCCTGAACAGTCTACTGATACTATTCTCTGCAGATGTCAACTCTGCAGAAGCCCTGGACCGAAAAAGGAGTATCAAACCTTGAATAACAGAGTGATCACTCACTGTTGACAGTCTTTAGGCTTTTTTTTTGTATCCTACAGTGATTTCACTACACTTCTTACTGTCACTTGTTAGCCCAGACTTGCCTTGGTGCAAGCTCAGAATTCAGCCATACACCTCTTACCGCACAAGCTGGCAGGGAAAAGGTGGTTATGAAGTTATGAGTACAGAGGCACTCTGCCATGGCTCGTAGAGCGGCCTGCCAGCCTCTTGGCAGGCACTGCTCAGCACTTCACACGCCTGAAAATTAAATCTAGGCTGTTATTCTCTCCATATATCATTTTTGCTTTGAAGTCTTAAGCAAAATGAATGTGAAAATTGGGTGGTAGCCGCTAAATCTGTGCAAGCATTTTCATTTTTGAAGCCTTATTTCAATACTCCAGATGTGAAGTGAAATTATGCTATGCTGACATCACATAAACATCACAATCTTACTTAGGACACTACCTTGAGCTGACAGAAATATCTACAGATTTCAAGAGGTGTTGGATCAGACCAAAGGGAAACATTTCAAAGATGTTTAAACATCTAAATGAAAATGTACAGTGGGGCTTCAATGGCAGTTGTGTGCTTGCTACAAATCCTAAAAGTGTCCAAATAGGTTAGGTATCTAAATATCTTACAGTTTACCCAGACACTACCAGCATCAGTTAGCTGCCTTTGGCTAGACCAAAAGTCAGGGTATGACAGCTCTACCTTGAGTCACTGGGACAGAGTTGGCAGGAGATTTTTGATTGACTTAGTATTTTGTTCAGAATTACAAATTAGAAATACAATTACAAAGAATGCAGAAGCAATGTGAACACTCCAGTGTCTTTTTGACAGTGTAGTTCTATGATTCAAAGGAATCTAAGAAGATTGAAATATTTTATGAGACACAGGGGAAAACAAAACAAAGCAAAACGCAAAGGAAAATAAAGAATAATCTAACAACAGCAGCACTGAACAACCTGCTTCACTTTTGTTTTAGCCAGCATCCCAGGATGCCACGTCATGTTTCTGTAGTCCATCTAGAGAAACCCATGAATAACCAAGAGCCAATGAGAGGTAACAATCCATCAGGGCTTGTATACATTACGCAGAATGAAAAACACAAGCAGTTTTCTATTTCATTATATTCAACCCAAATATTTAACACATGGCTTCAGCGATTTCCCTCCTCCTTCTCTTCCAGAAATATGTTCACCTTCTTAAATAGATTTACATGACTTCCTTCTATTGTTGTATCTGGCATTTCATACCGCAAACTATTATATGAATATGCTAAATTGACAGTCAGCTGGCATTACGGAACTACTTTGGCTTTGCAGCATGCAATTATAGAAGTGAGTAGTTAATCAGACAGTGATTTCAGTATCATCACTCTGATTTTCCATAACATGATTAACATCAATATCTAATCTAGTTTACAATCTTGGCTTCTTCAAATATAACAGCCCACTCTAAGACTAAGAAACTAAAGTTTACTGTTAGCAATATTCTATAGTCTTCAACTCTCTTTCCTGCCCATTTTTTTTTCTGTAACTTCATACATCAAGATGTTATTTCTTGTTGGTCTCATTATACTTAGTTCTTGCTTTTCATGGGCTAAAATCTGCAATGGATCAACTAAGGACCAATTTCAAAAAAGCACTGCACACCTTCAAGAATGCAAAAAAAATCCATTTTCTGCTATAAGATTATTCAACAGTGTGACAATAGGCAGGTATTTAAATGCTTTTTTGGATCACAGCCCTGAGATTCAGTACCTTACATCACTGAGTTCTGTATGCTCCACTGAATAGCCTAAATTCAGAATTACTTTAATCCAAACACAAGTTTCTCCCACACCTCTCCTTTTAAAAATTAACAAATCCTCCCTCACAAAGAATTCTTTATATGCCTCTGCACTGCTTTCTCAGTATTGTGTTATTAACAGAAGCAACAGTTCTGCTGGAGGGGAGGTTTTTCTCACAATATTTTCTGCCTACTGAAACCCAAAAGAATTTTTTAAATACACAGGAAAGAATCCTCAAAAGATTTGTTTAATTTTCAACATCAGGGATTATCAGATAAATTTAGCTACATTTCTAATTCAGAAAACATCTCCTTATTGCCCTCTATGCTGCCACATTCTCCTCTGTACCTCCTCAGCCATTTCAGAAGAACACTAGACATATTCAAACAGTTCAGTCTACCTGAAACTACTCATTTTCCAGGAGTGCAGAATAGTTCTTAAAAACACAGAAAAAGCATATTCGCTTCACTGTGCACATAGGTTGGAGAAGACCTTATAGATCAAGTTTAACTATTAGCCTTACACTGCCAAGTCCACATATGACACTAGAAAAATCACTGATTTACAACCTGTCTCTTCCGCTTCTGCCCCTTCTGGGATCTCCCACCTGCTGCTGGTTCCTCATCTTAGAGAAGTTGGAATTGAGTCACTGTATCTTGTTCCTCTCCAGCTCATTCTCCTCTACAAAGATACATCCAGTTGCCCTCTCTACTGCCCAGTTCTTCAAAACCCAGGTAGCACTTCTCCTCCAGGCAGCTCCAGTAGACATTAATCTTAGTTCTTCTTTTTCCTTTAATGTTCTTAAATGGCTACATGTCTCTTAGAAAGTCAGAAAGTGAACTGGACCTTTTCCTGGGCTTACTCACCACCTCTACTATGATGGTGTCATGGTTTAACCCCACGCAGCCACCAAGCCCCACACAGCTGCTCGCTCACTCCCCCACCAGTGCGATCAGGGTGAGAATTGGAAAAGTAAAAGCTAGAAAATTCGTGGGTTGAGGTAAAGACAGTTTAATAGGGAAAGCAAAAGCACACATGCAAGAAGGAAACCAAAGAATTCATTCACTGCTTCCCATGAGCAGGCAGGTGTTCAGCCATCCCCAGGAAAGCAGGATCCCATCATGCATAATGGTTACTTAGGAAAACAAACACCATAACTCCAAACATCTCCATTTCCTCCTTCTTCCCCCCACTTTATATTCTCAGAATGATATCATATGGTATGGAATATTCCTTTGGTCAGCTTGGGTCAGCTCTCCTGGCTGTGTCTCCTCCCAACTTCCCATGCACCCCAAATCTCCTCACCAGCATTGCGGTACGAAAAGCAGAGAAGGCCTTGGCTCTGTGTAAGCTCTATTAAGCTCAGCCATAACAAAAACATTTCTATATTATCAACTTTGCGTTCAGCACAAATTCAAAACACAGCTCCACACCAGCCACTGGGAAGAAAATTAACTACCCCAGTCAAAACCAGCACAGGTGGCTACTAGACTTCCAAGTCTGGTAGACTCAAAAGAACATCTTGAAGATATTTTTCTGATCAGGAAGGCATAATTACATCTACTTTGGCTGTATTTATTCCTAATCTGTGTTGCTCTCTGCACAGATTTTAGCCAATATTTCCTGACAGAACCGACTGATAAAAGAATCACTTTCAATTACTACAAAATATGCATGGAAAATTATCTAGAAACTTATAAACTTAATTCTCTGAAGTGAAAATCTGCTTCTACCAGTTATGACAGCCAAACCAGAAACTAGAAGTCCTTTCTGAATTCCTCAACAAACACTAACTGAGCAACAGAGCTCCATTCAGCAACAGAACATGGCAAATACCAGAGCAAACCATCCACTGGCCAAAAATTGTTTGTTGAAAATTGTAACCATGTACTTCTGGAAGTCAAATAAACATTACATAAATTGCTGTAGATATTCATGAAGTGCAGTCTAAATAACTAATTGGACATTTTTTTATCTCTGTCTCCTACATCAGGAAACAAATACCACACTGGACACAGTAAAAGAATAAAATAATGATCTTCTGCTTATCTATATTTCAATTTTTGTACGCACTTATTTTCTTAAATAATAATACAACAACCTTAAAATAAAGGAAACCATATTCAAATCCAATTAACCTGAATGCTCCATAACATGGCTTCACAAAGAGCAAATCCTGCCTGACCAACCTTGGGGCCTTCTATGATGGAGTGACTATATCAGTGGACACAGGAAGAGCCATGGATGTCATCTACCTGGACGCTTCTAAGGCCTTTAACATAGTCTCCCACAACATCCTTATCTCTAAACTAGAGATAAATGGATTTGATGGGTGGACTGTTTGGTGGATGAGGAATTGATTGACAGTCGCATCCAGGGGGCAATGGTCAATTGCTCAATATCCATATGGGCATCAGTGACAAGATCTGTCCCTCAAGGGTCTGTAATTGGACTGATACTCTTTAATGTCTTCATGACATAGATGAAGACGAAGATGAAATATAAGATTCACAGATGAATCGAGTGTTCCCTTAGCAACTCTGCAGATGACACCAAGCTGAGTGGTGTGATTGACATGCCTGAGGGATGAGATGCCATCCTGAGGGACTTGGACAAGCTTGAGAAGGGGGCCCATGGGAGTCCCAAGCTGCACATGGGTCAGGGCAACTGCTG